AGCCAGGGGCGGGGCTCAGGCTTAAAGGGGCCGTGACCGCCGGGCTGCGGCCGCGGCCTCGCGGAAGTCGTTGAAGGGGCGGGGCCTTAAGGTCGAGAGGCGGCACGACGGGAGCCACCGTGAGTCTTAAAGGGGAAGAGCGCCTTAAAGGGGAAGTCTGGAACCGCTCTGGGAGCTCTTACCAGGATCACGGACTCCAGGACTTATTTGAAGGGAAGCTCGAAGAAGAATGGAGCTAGGAGGGGCTTCCTCCGCTTCGGTGAAAGCCGAGGGCGCTGGATCCTAGGCTCAGTTCATTCCGGCTCTTCCCTGGAGGCGCACCGTATAACGCGGGATTTGCGAGGTTCAAATCGGGGGCCCTCCCCAGCCTTCTAGGCCTGTCCCCTTCTAAATCGCCCCTAGCTGGCCGTGTACAGTCTCCATGGAGACAGAAGCTTGCCCTCAAGCCCTCTGCCACCTCTGGCTAGTGGGGGAAATAGCACTAGATGATGACAAATTTCGTAGACTAAAATAGGGTCCCAGCATCCTGAGACCTCAAGGGGAAGGAGCCCAGTGAGTCATTCATTCCTCTTCCCTCCTCCCTCCCTCGCCACTGGTCAAGGTCACCATGGTGACCTTACTCCCACTGCTCCAAACTAGGAAAGCACAGACAAGATGCAAGAAATGATTTTTAACCACGGATTAAGCCTCATACCCCACCATATGCCACAGTAGTGGCTCTGGTGTCAAACTTCAAGGTCACTGAGAAACCCTGAAATCTCACCTGGCTCCAAGGCCAAGGGAATCCTGGTGTCATGCAAAAGGGCACGAGGTGCTCAGGACTGCTGGTAGATGGGCCCGCGGAATGGGTTAGTGCCAAGAGAACAAAAGTCCGAGTCCAGCCGCTGCTGGTAGATGGGCCGGCGGCGGTGTGGGTTAGTGCCAAGAGAACAAAAGTCCGAGTCCAGCCCAGGGTGCAGGAGGGGGATAGGTAGACAGCAGGTGGCACCCTGGGCCAGGCTGTCCTGCAGATTCCAAAGGTGGAGGTTCCAGGGGACTCAGGAGGCATAGCTGCGTAAACTCAATCCAGGGAAAGTAGAGAAGCTGCTCCAATACATCAGGGAAACAGAATGGCAGGGCAGGCCTGAAGATTATGCAAAAATTCTCCTTTCAGAGGCCCTAACCCAATACCCTTTTCCCCTGGTACACAATGACATTAGTGGAAGGAAGGCATTTCTGTTGGTGCAGATAAGCTTACATCATGACATTAATTCCAGGCGTGTTTTTCATTTTCAGTCCAGCTTTCTTATTATCTTTACCAACAGTTATTTGGGACACAGTGTTGGTTTAGCCCCAATCCAAAGGTTATTTTGCCCCGTCTTAACATCCCAAAGGTTTGAGGAATACGACAGTTCATGTGGGATGGCAGCACCAACTCCATTTTACAGTGGCTTTATATTATTTTTCTACCTACCGATGCCTTACTTAAAAAGCTCTCATAGCCAAGATTCTGCCCATTTTGAGGTGTGACCAAAAGACCACCTGTTTGTTGAACTAATCTCTGTTTTGTATTTACTGTAGTACCAGGTCAGCTTTGCCCATCCAAATCAAGGTCACCCACAGAAGTTGGCACCCAACAGCCTGTGAGCTCTTGCTTGTTAAGAACCTAGGGACTCCCGTTGCTAAAGCCCCTATCTATTAAAAAAATTAATAGATAATTAATTAATAAAATTAAAATAATAAAATTAACCTCGTGCCCTAACCAGTTTGGCTCAGTGGATAGAAGGGTCTGTGGACTGAAGGGTCCCAGGTTCGATTCCGGTCAAGGGCATGTACCTTGGTTGCGGGCAGAACCCCAGTAGGGGGTGTGCAGGAGGCAGCTGATCGATGTTTCTAACTCTCTATCCCTCTCCCTTCCTCTCTGTAAAAAAAATCAATAAAATATATTTTTTTAAAAAATAACCTCATATCTGTTTAAAACACACTGGAAACTATAAAAATAGTCATTCTCCTACTGGCATTAGCCACAATACGCTCCTGTAAACTGTCAAGGAGAAGAAAAAAATCCAGGTGTCTCTGACTCCAAAGCATGTGTTCAAAACCACAACCCTATGCTGCCTGGACTTTGAATGAAAGGAACTTCAGGGATCTCTAGAACTTCATGGTTTAAAAGACCCCATTTACTGTGGCTAGGGATAGTTTTGTGCATCTCCCAATAATTAATGATAATAACAGCTGACATGGAATATGCTGATTCTGAGTTATTTCAGAAAAAGTTCTTACTTAAGCCTCACTTGACCCTTTGAGGAAGTAATTCCCCTTTTAGGTGATGAACCAACGCTTAGAGAAAAAGACAAAGAACAAACACTAAGTTGCTGGGATTTGAACAGAGGCAGAGCTGATAGCAAAGTCCTCATCAGCCTTGCTCCCCATGACCTCACCTGGCAAGGGGGCCCTCTGTGCTGTAGAATTTTCTCAAAGCAACAAGATGGCTCGTCAAGCGTAGGGCCCTGAGGGCCTGGCCAGTGTGGCTCAGTGGTTGAGGGTTGACCGACAAACCAAGAATTCACCTGTTCGATGCCTGGTCAGGGCACATGCCTGGGTTGTGGGCTTGATCCCCAGTAGGGGGCACGGAGGAGGCAGCTGATCAAAGTCTCTCTCTCTCTCATTGATGTTTCTATTTCTCTATCCCTCTCCCTTCCTCTCTCTCAAAAAAGAAAAAAGAGTAGGGGCTAAGGGAGAGGGTCCCTGGCCCTGGGCTCTGTGAGGGGACTGCTAAACTCTCAGGAGACTAGGTAGCATGAGCAGCCTAAGTCCACCTGGTACCCTGGGGCTTTGACCAGTTGTCATCTGGAAGATGTATTACCCTCTCTTCACTGTTTCATGCCTTTCGGACTTTGCCCTCCCTGTAGCACCATGGAATGAAGGAAGACTGCTCTTCCTTCTGAGGCCTAATTAAAATTAGAGGTCTTCTCAAATGTAGCTTTTGCCGCAGCCCATGGGGAGACCACAGTATAATCCTAACTGCACGTGTTTAAGGGGGAAAGACCACACCTGATGAGGAGACAGGAGAGGGCTGCAGACCTGAGGTGAGAACTTGGGAAATGTGGGCAGCTCTTTGAGATTGGATATTTGGGGCTGACATACCTTATCCTTGTATATTGGGATTCTCACCCAGGCGTCGTGGGATTTTTACTCCTGTTTTCTCAAAGTCAGCTCCACCACATCCCAGAGTCTCCATCACCCCCTTCCCCCTACCCACTGTTGCTAAATTTAAATCCTCATCTGTCCTTTTCCTGTAGGACGTGGGTATTTTAAGGGAGCGACAGCGTGGTGCCGCGGGAGATGCAATGACACCAGTGCTGTGAAAATAATCCTGCTAGCTCCTCCTCTCTGTCTGTCAGATGCCTCCACCCACCTGCCAGGGACTCGCCCAAAGGATGCTGCATGAGGAGAGGGTTCCCAGGAAGTGGAGTTCGGGAAACCGGGAAACCATACCCGCAGTGCACAGAGAAACAGAGTGGACACAAACTCATCCTTAGACACCCCTTGGAGACATCCCAGGATCTGAGGGAGTCACCAGGTCAACATATAGTCCAGAGTCCTGAGGTATAGTAAGTCTGGGGGATCTTCTAGGGGACACACTTTGGGGAGCAAACATGGATATTACATTCTGAAGGGTATATGAGACCTTCCATAGCTCCTAGGAGACGGAGAGCAGAAGTGTCATTCTTTCCCTACCCAACCAAGTCCCCAGGGTGAGGGCTAGTGGGTGGGGCAATGGAGGTTTCCGAATTCTTGCTGATTGGTGCATCAGCCTGAAGGTTGCAGGATGGAATGGAGACTCCTGAAGTGTGCAGAGCCCTCCTGCATTTACACACTACCAGTGTGTGTGTGTGTGTGTGTGTGTGTGTGTTTGCATGTGCCTAACACCCAGGAAGCACAAGGGTGAGTTTTAAGGTCTCTGGCCTGGTAACAGGAAGGACACACTTTGTTCTTGAACTCGTGGTTACCATATCTGCCTCTACAGCATGACTTTTCCCAGGGGCATAGCTCTTCATCTTGCAGCTTTTGGAAAGCTAATTAATTTTCATTGCAGAGAGAGGATTTCAGAGGAAAACATCCTTCCAGTGCAGAAGAATGGAGTCAGGCCAAAGGAGATGTGTCGGCTATTTCGAATTAAATGGGAGTAGGTAAATTGGAAACGCTGCCCAAAACCAGGCACCCTGAGGCTTTGCCAGCTTCTACACGGGAGGCTATGGAGCAGCCTTCCAGGAGATCTTGGGCAACAAAATAAAAACCCATGTGGTCTGCTGCCTGCTGTGTTTTCTCTGTATGGTCAGAGTTAGCATCTTGCCTCATGCCTGATTCCGTGTGTGTGTGTGTGTGTGTGTGTGTTTGAGAGAGAGAGTGTTCAAGGTCTTCTCCAGGCCCCCAGGCTCCTACTTATACCACCACCCGCACAATGCCTCTACATGTACAATTGTCATAGAGGGAGATGGCAGTAACTGGGATCTGGGATCTGGGGTGTCAGACACGAGGGACAGGAAAGGTTACACCTATAAGACATAATCAGTGATCCGTGGCTCTGATTCTGGAGTCTCCAGGAAACTAATATAGAATGGTAGGTTTCAGAAAAAAACTCCACCCCGGGGGCAGACTATCCAGAAAGGCCAGGAGTCTGGCTGAGGTTGGGCAGATGTTAAGAAAGACTCCACGCTGCCATTTGCCATTCTATGCTGCTGATGTGTGTACATCAAGGGGAGGGGATGGGGGGAGACAGTTCCCAGTGAGCTCTCCCTCTCCCCCACCCGCTCCACAGAGGTGTGGCTTGAACTGGAGATGAATAAGGACCCCGTGCCGAGGTCTCAGCCACAGTGCATGGGCCCCAAGGGCAAGCACAGAAATAACGGGATGCACTTGGCTTCAGCTCCTCCGCATGGGAAGCTGTGGTCTCGGAGACCAGGGAGCGTGAGGGTGAGGAGGGATGGCAAGAGGGAGAAGAATGACGTGAACACACTGCGATTCAGGACAACAAAGTCTCTCTCATGCCTCTCTACCTATTGAGCCATCACCTGAGCCTCTGCAGGACTCTGGCTGAACAGGTAGAGCTGCCTCCCACATGGTATTGCCACAGACACAGAAATGTCAGCTTGGCACACAGGTGGCCCCACCACAGGAGAGGCTGCCTCAGGGCATGTGCTTGGACACCTCTGTCCTCTATGCACTGACCTCCCAGGGCAGAGGTCACCAGAGCAGCTCTCCTCTCCCCTTCTACCAATAAGTCTCAGTGTGAGAGCCACACACACCACCTCATTCATCATTTATGGAGCCCCTACTATGGGCCGGACCCTATATAATTTTCTGAGGATACCACAAATCTGGTGGTGCAAACAGACATGTACTGCAGTCTAGTAGGAAGTGCTGTGATGGGGGCATAAACAAGAGGTGCCAGAGCACAGAAGACTTCCTGGAAGAAGCAACATTGGAACTGGGTGTTCAGTGATAAGTAGAAGATTGCGCACAAAGAGAATAGATAAGTAGAATAGTTAATAAAACATAAGCACACAAAGGGGAAAGAACATGCTGGGCAGAGGGAACAGTATGTGCAAAGACGAAGGCAGGAAAGAGCAGGGTGAATTTGGGAAGTACTAGTGGTCTGTGTGACCAGGTGCACAGGAGAGGTGGCAGAGAGAGGCCAGGGAGGGAGGCAAGGTCTGACCCCCCTGGGTTAAGTGCCACCCCCAAGGCACCAGAACTTGACTCTGGCAGTGACGGGAAGGATGGGAAAGTTCTAAGAGGAGAGTGGCATAACCAGAATTGCACTTTAGAAAGGTCACTCAGACCCAGAGTCAGGCTGGAGTGCAGTAAGACCCCAGAGGCAAGGAGACCAGGCTTATATTGACAGGCTTATTGAAGCAACACAGCAACAGCAGTAGAGGAAAGAGAAAGGAAAGGACATGTTGAGAGATTTTAAGGGGTAAAAATGACAGATGTCATCACCATTTGGACATGAGGTGAAGGGAGAGGGAGAAGTCTAGACTGACACCCAGGTTTCTGGCTTAGGTAACTGGGTGAAAGACAATAGGGAGAGGTAAGCAACAATAGAGCAGAATTTGGGTTAAGGTTGAGTCTGAGGCACAAGATGCCTGACATACCAATAGGTAGTTGTAAATAGGGGCCAGGGAAGAGGTTTGGGTGGGAGAAATATATGTGGAAGCATCCCCTGAGGCACAAGATGCCTGAGTAGACATACCAATAGGTAGTTGTAAATAGGGGCCAGGAAAGAGGTTTGGGTGGGAGAAATATATGTGGAAGCATCCATCTACAGCTGGTAGTTGGATCCATGGGTAAGGAGGGAGCACCCAGCAGAAGACTGGGCACTGAGAGGGGCATGGGATGGGCCAGTGATCTCCACCTCCATCCCACCTGTTAAGAATTCCAGAGAACATTACTGATCCTCAAAACCCCTCATCCCACAGAAAGGAACTAAGACTTAGACCTCTGGTGTTTCCTGGGGCAGAGACAGCCCAGGAAGGATGCTCCATTACAGGTCCCTCTTCTGAAACATGTCCATCTCATTACTGTTTCTTACCACCTAGGGGACATGTCTCAGAGCCCACCCTCTCTTGCTACAAATGGCAGGGCTTCCTGCCCTGACCTCCTGGACTCCTGGGCTAGGAGCCCATGTGCTCCAGATGGGATGTTCCAAGAGATGGGGAGGGACTGACAGTGACCCCACAATGTCCAGGCATCTGCAGCATCCCCTGAATCACCTATATTTTTCCAGGGAGTGCTGCAGGAAGAAGGCGTTGGGAGCCATCTGACCTTGCCTTATTTCCCTGTGGCCTGGCATCCTGGTGATGGCACCCAAGACAACCAGTCCTGCCCACCTCACCTCAGCCCTGCTCATAGACCCCAACGGGCCCTGAGACCCACAGGCACGCCTCCTACAGTGTCCACATGGGATCAGACAGGCAGGAGGCAGCTCACGGCGCTTTTTTCTGGTTATTTTATTTGAAAACCCTCAGGTGTGTCCCCTCCCTCACCACACCCATTCCCCTACCGCCACCCCAGGACATGACAATGCCACACACACACACACACACAAGGCTGTGAGCTGCACATGGAACACAGGGGCTGTGCTCACAACAACATGAAAAAATATACATTATATATAATACATCGGGGCCCCTACTCCCGCTCCCACCCCCACAACCTAGCCATGACCGGGTCATGTAGGAAGGGGAAGGGGTTGTAGGACTTCAGGCAAGGACAGGAGAGGAAAGAGGACAACAAAGGAAGGAAAGTGGGCGCAGTGAAGAAGCAGGGGTCCCCAGAGTGAAACGGATGGCGGGAACTGGGGGGAGGAAGGCCTCATGGACAGGAGGGTAGGGAAGTGTGGAGTAGAGGGTTCCTTCAATCCCACCGCTGGCCCCTGCCATTGCTACTGACAGCGCCCCCAATACAGAGCATGGCTAGTCGGGGGAGAGACAGAGACATGGGTGAGCTAGGGAAGGCTGCTCTGAGGGGCAAAAAAGGCAGCCAGAGTCTTCCACTCGGGATAGCGGGGGAGCCCAGAGGCATGGGAGCAAGGTGGGCGGGGGGATGGGGAGGGTAGACTCCAGTGGGGCCAACTGGGATTTTGAGATTAAAGGATGCCTCAAGCTCTCTCCTTTTTGGTCTCTCTTCTCTCAGAATGTCCTTCTTTCTTTTCTGAGAGTATCTCTGTCTCACCAGGGCAGAATTCTCTCTCTCTCTCTCTCTCTCTCTCTCTCTCTCTCTCTTTCTCTTCGGGGAGGAGTGTAGGCCTTAGTAGCGGTGTGGGGGGGTCTCAATGATGCGTCTCTCATCGCTGCTGGGTGAGTCAGCTGCCTCTGAGTCACTGCTGTCCTCGTCCTCCTGCTGGCCACCGGCAGCCCCTGCCACACAGGCTTGCCGATTCTGGTAGGACTGGAGAAGGCAGGAGTGGAGAAGAGAGGGGCTCAGTGGCCTGACACACCCCAGAGCCTCTCAGCCTCCCTCCGTCTCCTCACCCCACCCCTCTCCCACCTCCTTCCCCATGCAAACCTTTCTCCTTTCTACTCAGAGGTTCTGCCCAGAGTTTTTTCCCCAGGGCCTGGCCATTCCTTAGAGGTCTTCGCTGTGTATGACCCTTCAGACCTCCCACTCCCCAGAGCCACTCACCTCCATGGGGTTCACGATAATGGTGAGAGCAGAGTCATCCCAGAAGAGGTCAGGGTCCTTGGGGTCACTGGAGGCCCCTGGGGGCCCACCGGCCCCCGAGACACGGCGGTGAAGGGAGTGGATTCTCACCAGGCCCAGGATGACCATGAGCACCAGGAAGCCCACACACACCACAATGATGAGAGTCGCTGCACTGGGGACCACTGTGGGGAGAGCGTGCGGTGAGCAGACCGTGGCCAGGCCCACCTGAGGGGACTCGGCACAGGGAGCAGGGAGGGGGGCCTGGGCAGAGGGTATCTCTGAGTAAGAGAAGAGAAGATCCATGATAACTTAGAAGAGGAGACTACCCTGGAGAAGCTAGAAGAAAAATAGAGCTGGGAAGGACCAGAGACCAAGAGAGAAGCTGTCGGCAGAGTGGCTGCTGCTAGAGAGACAGAGGGAAGGAGGTGTGTAAAAGTGGAGGCAGGGCAAGGTGGGGAAGGGCTCCCAGCCCGGTGCTGTCAGGAGCAGCCCTATTGTCAGCGGGAAGAGCCCAAGGTTTAGAACCTGCCCAGGTTGTGCTCTCGGGACCACTTGGCCTAGGAATGAGCTGCTCAGTGCCCAATGGGAGAAGGAGAGAGGCAGCCACATGGGCTTAATGGTGTGGGAGGAGAGAATGTCCAAGGCTGGGACAGGTCTAAGGGGCAAGGAGCAGCCCCTTCACTTACCTACCTGGACTGGACTCACTCCTGCTGGATGCCGCCTCCCTTCTCCTTATGGGCTTAGGGCTCCTGGGCCTCCGGGGCCTCTGCTCCTCCCTAACCTCCCTCCGAGGTACACCCCTCCTCTCTTTGGCCCTGCCATGCCTCTGGTCCTGCAGCCCCACTTTGAGGCCCAGGCTCAGGGGGGCATGGACCTTGAAGGGCAGTGAGACACTGAAGGGCATGTGGACTCTTACATGGACCCTAGAGCTGATGGCGGAAAAGCAGATGTGCATGCACAGGTACATGCCCAGGAGGACCGGGTGGGCACACAACTGGACAAAGGCCGCCACACCCTGCACCCAAGCCAGGCCTCTGCTAGCCCACACAGCTGCCTGCACCAGCCACCTGGCGGCCTGCTCACACAGCAGGGTGTACGGGATACGTCTGAGGGTCTCCAGAAAGGCAGCGAAGAGCCATAGGTGCAGCGTCACCCAGCTCCCTGCCAGCTGGGCACACCAGGCAACCCCCTGAAAGAGGACGTAAACAGCACAGACGTAGACTGCGAGGGCCACAGAGCGAGCACCTGTGAGCACAGCCCTGCCCACCCCCCGCACACACACAAACAGCCCTCGGAGAAACAGGAGGAGGCAAAACAGGAGAGCCCACAGCCCCAGGGATAGCAGTTGGAGGCAGAGACCCCACACATACACACCCAGGCCCAGGGCCCTCACAGGCAGCTGGGTCACTACACCCCACATGGTGCACATCCTTCCCACTGTCTTTGCTCACAGCAGCTCACCACCCGACCACAGAGGCTCCATGAGGTCCAGACTCTGAGCAGTCCTGTTGCTGAGGAACTATTAAAGGCATGGGACACACACACACACACACACACACACACACACACACACACACACACACACGTTATGTTCTGGTAACAGATATACCTCCTGGTCCTGAATTTACCCTCAGCCTGTAAGACTCACATGTCAAGAGACAGAGCAGAGCACAGAGAAGCACACAGCACAGGAGCCCCACACACCCTGCTGCAGTCCCTGCTTGCGGCAGCCAGCACACTCATGCTGCCACCACACACACTACCACGCATTCCAGGGCCAACCAGGTGTGTGGAGAATGCCCTGCCTGAGCAGGCACACTAGCCTCACACCTCCCTGAGGCCACCCTGATGGCTCTCTGCCGAGTTGGTCCCCGTCCCGACCCATAGCCCACTTGGGGCCACTCTCCAGCTAGAGCTGACTCTGCCTAGCAGGGCAGGCAGCCTTCCTGGGCACTGGCTCCAGGGCAGAGATGGGCCTGGCTGGATCAGCATTTCTCAACTGCCTGGGCATGGGGGAGGAGGGGAGAGGGAGACAGAGAAGACCCGTCTGCCCATCTGCAGGAAACAGTCCCTCCCAAGTCTCCACGTCAATGAGCAAGATGGGGGGGGCGGGGCACCAGCAGAATGCCCCTGTCGCTAAGCCGAGGCTCTAGAAGGAGTGGAGGCCACAGCAGGCATACTTGCTCTGGGTACAATGATGACAAGCCAAACCTTCTGGTTTGTGCCTTAATCAGATGCATTTGGTCCTCTGAGACCCTGGCCTGGCAAAGGAAATCACAAGTTGATTGCCAGGACTAAGAAATGATGCAGGAAAGACAAAATGCCAACACTCTATCTATAGGCCAATGAGCATGGTTCACTAGTTTAAACTGAGCCAGGAGGCCAGGGAGATGGGAGGATTTTTAAATTAGCCACAGATAAAAATCAAGAGTTTAACAACGAAGCAACCTTTCTTGCAGCATTAGATCTGAGCAGTTACTTCTGGCCTTAAATGACCTCCATAGTCAACATGAAAGGGTGTTTTAGCAAATGGCCCATGTGACCTCCTGGCTTCAGCTGATGGTGAGGACACTGTGGAGAGCCCTGTCCACAGCTCTGCGTGGTGCCCCCTTTGTGAAGACCATCAGGAGAAACCTCTTTCTGCCCTTGGTCCCAGGGCTTCTCCTGAAATTCTGCTTGGCCCCTATCCTATGACCTTCATAACTTCTCAGGTTCCCCTTGGCTTTAGCGACAAGGAAGCTCAGAGTCAAAATTTGACCCACTCTTGCAACTGCACAGTCTCTGAGTATTTTATGAACTGGTTTTATCTTATTCTTCTTTCATCTTTGTCCTTTCCGCCGCACTTCCTAATTCATTTCCTACCTTTATCCTATTACACTGTAGGTCTTTCTGAAAAGCCTTGTAGGAAACAAGGCAGGGAAATGGTTCCCAAACCTTGCCACACTTAAGAACCTTTGAAAACCCTGATGCCTGGCTCCCACTGCCAGACATTCTGATTTAACGGGTATGGAGTGTAATCTAGGCACCAAACGTTTTTACAGCTCCCCAAGTGATACTGAGGAGCATCAAACTTTTGGATGATTAGATAAATACTATCTTCATCATTTTGTCTCACCCTTCTCAGACAACCTTATTCTCCCTAACCATAATTGCCCTAAACCACCCATCCACCCACCCCCAATTTTCAAATTCTCATTCTCTCTCATAACCACACAAAAATTCCTTCAAGGTCAAAGTTCAAACTCTATGCGCACCACAAAACATTCCCTGACTGCCCCCCTTCACACTGATCCTCTGTTTTCTGATGCACTTAGGACCTTCAGGGAAATCTACCTCCTGTCCCTTTGGAGGAAATGGTATCTCTCACTGCTTCTGCCTGCCTAGAGGAATTTGACATTGCAAAGCCATAATTCTATAATACCACTCTTGGGATTGGGTCGGGGAGGAGATGGACTGCCTTGAGGAGGGTTTTATGAAATGGATCTCCTGGTAAACTCAGGAGATGTCATCACCAAGGACCCCAGGTGAACTATGAACTCTGCACAATACTCAACCCAAAACAAAGGGGAAAGCAAAAGCAGGCTGCCGCTCTCAGTTAGGATCTCAGAGCAGGCTTGGTGGGCCTGCACATCAGCTCAGAACAGTGGATGGGGAGGTGAAGTGAGGACAATACTTACACACACCCCTGGAGCACCGCCAGCTGGGGAGGATGAGGGTGAGGGTAGGAAGCTCTGGGGTAGTTAGAGAGGGACCTCCCCTGGGACCTCATGCCACAGAAAACTAAGACTGAAAATCTCAACAGGCCCAGCAACAATGCCAACAAGGATTTAGATTGAGCTTAATCTGTGTAGCAGGACCCAGTATCCAACCCAGATAAGGTTGAGTGGGCCAATTCCGAGGGAAAGAACTGGAGAAAGAGCTAGGGAATCATGAGAAGAAAAAAGTTGGCTCTGAGGGTCTATTGAACACAAACAGGTTTAGTTCACTCACATCTCTCTACCAACTAAAGACTGGGTGAAGCCTGGCCAGCATGGCTCAGTGGTTGAGTGTTGAACAGTGAACCAAGAAGTCATGGTTCGATTCCCAGTCAAGGCACATGCCCAGGGTGTGGGCTCCGTCCCCAGTGTGGGACTTGCAGGAAGCAGCTGATCAATGATTCTCTCTCATCATTAATGTTTCTATCTCTCTCTCCCTCTCCCATCCTCTCTGAAATCAATAAAAATATTTTTTTTTTTAAAATGGAGTGAAGCTTCTTGGAACCTCTGCAACTTGGTTATGCCTTTTACTCCCTCCTCGTCCCTATTCCCACCTGCTCTGCCATACTGTCAGAGTAAAACACTTAAAAAGGCTTCTGCAGAAGAAAGAAGGGAGCCAGTACCAGGGGTAACAATACACAAAGGAGAGTGTAGCAGTGGCCACTGCCCAAGGAGAGGAAGCCAGACTGAGTAAGAGGGAAGCCCTACAAAGTATTGAGGCTAATAATAGTGTGTGTGTTTTTAAGCATCAAATATAAATGGAGAGAGTATGGAGTGCACAGGCTCTGGAATTGCTGCTGGATTTTAATCCTGGCTCCATCACTTTCTAGCGGTGTGATCTTAGTAAAGTATTTAACCTCTCTGGGCTTCCATTTCCCTGTCTTTAAAGGGATAATTCTAGTACCTATTTCATTTGCTGTTTGTAATGACTAAATGAGTTAATATGTGTAAAAGCCCACAGACATAGTGGCTGGCACATGTGGATGTGTTTGCTGTTCTTATTACTAAATGTATTGAAGGGAGTGCTGTACTTTCAGAATAGTGTTCACTGACCAAGGACTTCTTCCCACAAAGCATTCTTGGAACTCCTTAAGGAATTGCCTTCAGAACCTATGATACACCTTTTGGCTTTTTTTTCAAAAGTGACAAATCTGTGCCCTTCGAGAGTAGGTTTAATGTTTAAAAACGCAAAATGACATCCGGCGCCAACTCTGACAAAACTGGATGCTGAAGTTGGGTAATACTGAACTGGGCCAAAAGCATGGTGTGTCCAAAAAAATAAAATAAAGTAAGTGCAACCTCATTAATTGGCTTTGAAAGCAATCAAAAAAGGGATTTAAAAAAATCATTTTTAGCACTATCAGAATAATTTTGCAGTTTTTAATAATGTGGGGGAAGACTCATTTTATAATATTTGATATAAATCTCAAGTTGCAAAATAATAGGATCCGAACTTTGTAAAAAGGAAAAAAAAAAATGGGGATAGAAAAAAAAAACCTGGCGCATAATATACCATATTAAAATGGTTTCGCCCTAACCAGTTTGGCTCAGTGGATAGAGCGTCGGTCTGCGGACTCAAGGGGCCCAGGTTCGATTCCGGTCAAGGGCATATACCTTGGTTGTGGGCACATCCCCAGTAGGGCGTGTGCAGGAGGCAGCTGATCGATGTTTCTCTCTCATTGATATTTCTAACTCTCTATCCCTCTCCCTTCCTCTCTGTAAAAAACCAATAAACTATATTTAAAAAATAAGTAAATAAAATGGTTTCCTCTCTGTGATAGAATTGTGGCTGAGCTTTCTTCTTTACATTTGCAGTTTCTGGTTTCTCTGCTATTAAGCAACTCTTACATGGGAATTTAAAAATTGTGTCACTGGTGAAGGACCAGGGCCAGGGAAGGAGATTGCCTTGAAGGGCAGCACTCCATCTGCATATTGACACACTTGCTCATTTTGATTTAGAAATAGTCTTATGACTTTGTACATGGCACGTAATTATACGTGTAGTAGTGCCAACTTTCCCCTTGGGGATAGGAACAGTATCCTGTAATTTTTTTAGATTCCTAAGGGTACTTTAGGACAGTGCTAGTACATGATAGGTATTTAATAATACTTGATAACTTCACTACCAAGGGTCCCTAGGTCCGGGGCTTATTGATATTGTTGTGGGAGGGCAGCAGGGACAACAAAGGCTTGGCCTAAACCCCACACAGACTTCATGATTCCCAGCATGAGTGCCCCTGCAATGACACACAGCTCACATTCTTCACAAGGGAAAGGTGATGATCCAGGGGAATAAAGGAACTGGAATACAGCCTTACAGCCTTCAGGTACCACAAGGGAACAGAATCCACTGCTCCACCCTGTCCTGCCCCCCCCCCCCAGGGGTGGAGGGGGAGGATGCCTGTGCCCAGCCCCATCCCCTGCCACCTGCTCACCCCGCACAGCCTCACTTACTGGAGTTTCGGTGGGAGCTGGCCAAGCTGTGTCCAGCCATCTCAGGAGGTGGCTGGTGACCACGGTGCAGAAACTGCTGGGAGCTGAGCACATGGCTTGGGTGGGCAACCCGGTTCATGCTGTGCAGGACGTTGACCTGGGGAGGGAGGGCTTGGTGTGCACACACTTCTCCCCAGGTCCAACTCCAACTCCCGAAAGCCCTCTCTTAACCACTGCCCCACAGCTGCTGCTGCCCCACCCACCACCAGGGCCAGGAGTCCTCCCTGCTGTCATTTCCATTCCCACCGCCTTTCGGTTCAGTCCACTCCACCCTGGCTTCTCGCCAGTGGGGAATAGCTGTGGAAGGAAGGAGACTCTCTGGGTACCTCCACGATGAATTCATTGCTGGAGTAACGACCATTCATTTCTGAGCAGGAAAGCCGGAATTTCCTGGCATAGAGGGCAGCTCCGTGCCGCAGCCTGTAACGCGCCTGCCTCAGGATCTCTTCATACACAGTGATGCTCTCCACCCCTGGGGGACGAGGAAGTAGCTCAGTGCAGGAGCCAGTGAAGAGGCCCAGGGCGGACTCTCTCTCCGACCCCCACCAGCCTAGAGTGGGTTAGCTCCACCCTTCCACAGGAGTTCTCAGAGGAAGCGATGTTCCCTTCTGCTCCGCAACCTGGCTCTAATTGACTGGGATGGGCTGCATTTCCTGCTCTGGTTTCCTCTCTAATGCTCTGTGGCTTCTGAGTAGGGATGGAGAGAAGGAAACCAGGACCCTCTGCAACACATTAGGGAGGTGGCAAGCAGGAGAGAAACAGAGAGAGGGGGAAATACGGAAATCACCAGGGAGGCTCTGGAAGGGACTGGAAATGGGAGGGAACTGGTGATGCCCATCAGCTCCCATCCTCCCTTAGGGAGGATCCTTTGGAGAAGAGCAGGCTTCCTTTGGACATTTCCAAATCATTCCCACTAGTTAGATGACCTCCTAACAAAAGCTAAGCTGTTTACATAAGATGAGTGAGATGGAAGACTGGTGGGATGGCTGGTATCAAACAGCCAGAGGATTAGGAAGCTGGTCAAAGAAGGCTCGGCCAAAGGAGAGGTGGAGGTGAGCCAGGCTGAAGAGAGAAGAGGGAGAAAGGACCATTTGGAGCTTAAGCCCCGGCACATCTCCTCCATGGGCAATCTAGCAGCCAAACAATCTTCCAGGCTGGGAAGATGCGAAATGTCACTTGGCCACATCCCTGGACCTGGAAGGGGACCCTCTGGATTTCCCAGTACCTGATCATGGGGAGGAGAACACACAGAAAAAGAGGGCAGGCTCTCGGGTCCCACTGACCAGCAATGGTGATGTAGGCAGACGTGTTGGTGAGCTCCAGCCCTCGCTGCTGCAAGGATGCCATGTCCAAGAGCAGGCTTTCCCGCTCCGGGTCTAGGTCATCCCCCACCAGAGAAATCTCACAGCCGTCCAGGTTGTGCACAATCTCATCGGACATGCGTGTGTCTGTCACTGGGTTGGAGAGAGTCAGGATCTGGGTCAGAGTTGAGGCCCACCTCATGGCCACTCTTCCAGGGTCATTCCCTGGAAGTCAGCATCATTTTCAAGAACGCCGTTACCCAACAATTTCCATCCACCTGGGAGCCTCCTACAGGCTCTTCCTCCTAATGGTCTGTGGCTCTAGTCAAGCAAATGCAGGATGAAGTCGCTGCTCACATCCAGCCCCAGATTATCTCCCTCCCTCCGGTGCTAGATAGGGACCCTCCTCGGGATGGTCTCACTCCCTGGGGTCATCCTTACCTGTTCCCTGCCAACTCTCATCCTTTTTGGCCTCCACCTGGTGAGAAATGGAGCAAGTGATCTGAAGATCTGGGAACAAAGCCACCCCCTCGGATCCCTCGAAGTCCACAGCTGGGCGGGCAAAGTGAGCAGTGCCACTCAGCAGGATCTGGGGGGCATCAGGCTGGAGGACAACCACGTAGCCCTCCACTTCGGGGATGGAGACGCAAGACTCTTCACTGAAGCACCTATGTGAGAAATGGGGAGAGGCAGCTATGACCCCAAAACCCCCTCTCTTATAATCTATATTCTGTTTCATCCCTCTGGGCCTCCACCTCTACATAGAGCAGCCCATGTGGTGAGGGGAGGAAAGGGGGCTAGTGTCTCTGCACCACCACCACCACCACCATCACCCCAAGTAATAGAGCTGACAGTATCTCTCTCTTGAAGATGCTACTGCAGGAAAGATCAGGGACAGAAGGTCAGGCAACCCTAACCTAAGGGGATGACCACATCATCAATGTCTTACCCCAAAATTATGGAACATCTAGCAAACTAGTACTTTACAAGCTAAGCTTACAAAAATGTACATACATACACATACAGTTCTTTATCCAAGAGGTGTTTTTATTTGTGTTTAGTGCAATATCTGGCAGAAATATGCCCCAAAATATTCTACCACAAAAGGAGGTGGGGACCTATCAAAAGATGTTCGCCTTCTTGATGAGTCTTCTATTGACTCTCTTTTAATATCAGAGAAGCATACTTCGGTAGGTGAACTAATCTGACTATCTGGGACCTGCATCCATGAGCCTCACTGATCTTGATGCCGATACAAACTCTCCCTAGAAAACTCAGCCAGGCTGAACCAACCACCAGCACAGCAGCTCAGAAACATGCTCCAGGATCCCCTCTAGCCCCATCCTATATTCATAAATAAAACTCCTCACAGCATTATTTCAGCTTTAGCTCATTTTTTTTTTTTT